TCAATGAGAAATCTTCCCCACTGGTAAGCACAATAGCAGCCATCCATTTCAATAGAAGTTTATCAGCAGTGAAACCTGACCGAGATAAATGAGGAAGCTTTTGAGCCACAGCCTGCTTCTGCCTGCTGCAGGCTGCCAGATAAAATAGGAACAAAAGCTCCCTGCTGCACCCCCTACCAGTCTCCATTAACCCCTGCTGATGTTTTATTATCGTCTGGGGGCTCCAGAAAAGCGTAGCATGAATCAGTGCGTAAAAATAAATAATAAAGCACATATGTGGCACAAACAAACCAGAAATCTGGCTTGCAGGAGACACTGACTTCTTTAGTGATGCAATAAGATTACTATTTGAGTAATGCCACACATTGAAAAACAAAAAAGCAAGCACTATTTAATGATTTTATACGGAAAATCTACTTGTATACAATAATGCGTAAGCACACTGAAATGTCTCTCTCTCTTTGTCCATACACAAGGTCACTTATCAAGCCAGGAGCAGGCTGAGTTTTCCTGACTACCAGTTCCACGATTAGACCATGCATAAGGCCCTTCATTTTCAGTTTTTATTTTTTAAAGAACTTCACAGGAACTTATCAGTATTTATTCTAAAAATTTAAAAATGGGTGAAAAATAATTAAAAATCAAAAATGAAGGGCAGTGGGCAAGGCAGGGCAGTAGGGTAACCACCTTTTCAAAAGGCAAAAGCAGGACAGGCAGGTACCCTGCCCTCTGTGTGGTCCTGCTCCTCCTCTTCCTCCCAAGTCCCCACCCCCTGCCCCTTCTCTTTCCCTGAGGCCCTGCCTCCTGCTCCTTCTCTTCCCCTAAGACCCAGCCCCATGGCTAGGCTGGAAGCTGGAGCAGGGCCATGGTAAGAGCCACCTAGGGAGTCCAGGCTACTGTGGGGAACCTCAGACCCTCCATGTCCTGGAGCAGCCTCTGGCCTGTGTGCCCAGCCTCTGGGGTGTGCCGCCCTAGGGCAGGTGGAGAGTCTGGGACTCCAGGGCTCCCCACAACTGCCCAGACTCCCTGGGTGGTTCTTACTTGCCCGACTCTGGCTTTTGGCTTGGCAGAGACCTGGGGGGCGGGGGAGGAGAGAGGAGGGGGAGGAGCAGGGGGCAGGGCCCCATGGTGAGGGGGAACTAAGGCCCACCTCAGCCTCATCCCCATCTCCTCTCCCTCCCCCCACCCCACCCCGCACCAGAAAGAGGCAGGCGTCATCCCTGAACCTCAGGCAGGTGCAGACCAGTGCTGCAGGGAATCCAGGACAAATGCTGTCCTAGTGTCATTGAGCTCAGGACCAGGACTTGGACTCTACATTTCATGCTTGTCAGGATGGGTGGTCACCCTATAGGGCAGGAGGTATGCTTACTACTCACAGGGGTTGGGAGTATTTGCGATGTAGCCTCGTCTCCTAGGATCTGACTTCCTGCCTTTCTCGCTCCCTAGCTGCACAGAGGAAGCAGACGGGACTCTGGCAGTTCAGCATGGCCAAGACAATGGTAGGCTACACCCTGGGAGTACTGACCCTCGCCCCCCTCCCGCCAGGCATGGCCCTCTCCTGAACCCAGTCTTTCAGAATGGCACCATCCACTTCCTGGGGCCACGCTGAAGGATATGGGTCAGGACAGGGCTTGGTCCAGCAGGGAGCTCAGTACTCACAGAGTTTAACTGCAGGCTGGTAAACAGTGCGGAAGCGAGACGGGGAGGGAGGTGGGTCCCAGCAGCCGAAACCACATGCACAAAGTGCCATCCACTTCCCCTGCAGGACAGAGCCCTCCACTCTGCCCCTGGTCAATCAGTGTGATCCCAGGAAGCAGATGGGGCTGAACTGAAGGGCAGGGGCCAAGAGGGGGCTCTCTCTGGGAAGTGGACAGGATGCAGCCTTCCACTCCCTCCCCCCCCCTGTGCCTGGCCCCGTCCACTTCCTCCACAAAAAATTCCTGGGTCCTGAAAAAGCTAAAATTGGGAAAAACCCGAATACTGACTTTTTCAAAATCCAGGAATTTTTTTTGGAGGAAAAAAAATCAATAAATACCAAAATCAACAGGCTACGCAACATCTCAATTTAAATTAATTTTTTTCTCTCCAAGGTTAAAGGATCAACTTCTACTAAGGCTACACAAAAAGTGAATTTTCTTTGTTTGTTTTTAAACAGCAGAGATCTAGTCATCTCCTTAGCACATGTACCATTTTGGTAATAATGATATTTGGTATTCAGTTGTTTACAGTCTCAAAAGCTTGTACATTAGACACAACGAGAGACCAAATTTAGCCCAAAATTGAAATGTATGAAAATTGGCCTACGGCAAATAGAAATGTTTCTTGTCCTCCCCCTTTCCTCATTTTGCTCTTCCCCATTTCTTTTTTAAATAAAAATTATAATGGAAAGAAATGAAAGGGGGAAGGAGAGAAACCTATTCCCCCTGCAAAATCTGAAACCCTAACAACATTGTGCTAAGCATATAAGAACTTGGAAATGAAATTGACTAGAAATATGTGA